TTTGTTTCTATAATATGAATTTCAATAACCATTTCAAATGAAGAAAACATATTTAGTACCTTAATAAAGAGTTTTCAAAAAATAAAGATATGATTCAAAATGAAATGAACTTTATGTTAATTTAATTAATTTAGAATTGGGGTTCTTAAACATTTCTTCATCTATTAAGTCCAATTAAACAAATTTAAATTTACAATTTCTTTAGTATTTTTTATTTTCTTTCTTAATATTTTATGTAATTATTTTTTAAAAATTATTTGGCATTGCTATTGGTTTTTACCTTTTATGATTGAATATATAATCATGTATTTTTTTATTAAATCAATTTAAGTTAAATTTCACTTTTTAAAAGAAATATTCTAACGCTTTTTATAATATTAGTATTTATCAATATAAACTCCAAAAAATTAAAGGGAAAAATACCCCAAAATTATATTATTTTAATAAAACCAAAATACTTTCATTCTTATTTTAAAAATATGTTATTTTTGCATTTTTTTAATACAAGTTTATTAAAACAATATAATTTTTTAGTGTTTTCCTTTCTTTTCTTTTCTTTTTTTTTTTTAAAATAAATTTGGCTAACAAACACGTTTCTTTCTTTTCTATTTATTCTTCAATTGATCATTGCAATATTTATTATTGTGATATTTTATTTTTTATTTTAATAAATACATTTATATTTTTTTCAAATATATCAATAAAAAAGACTACAAAAAAATCTTTTTATAAATTTTTTTAAAAAAATAAATTAGTATTTTAAAAGATACTTGAAGCTCAAATTTTCAACAATAATTCTCGTCTCCCCTAATCAAATTTCCTGACTTCGTCCCTAAATAATATCCAAAAAGTTATCTACTTTGTGTGGTCGATAAGTGATAACGGGGAAATAATGCCTTCAAAGAACGGTTTCAAATTATTAGTAACTCAAAATTTCAAATTAAAAATTTTAAATTTTAATTTTGAAATAAATGGGAACAAATTGGAAGGAAAAAAATAATTAATTTTTATTACATAATTTATCATTTAATATATTAAAAAAAAAACAACAATTATATTCGTCTCTTAGATTTATAGACTAGCTAGTTGGGTATGGTCTATGAAAATTAAATTTGCGCTTGATTTTGATGAGGGAAATTTTTGAGAACGTTCAAGTTGTTTATGGGGTTTTAAAAAAAAAAAAAATAATTGATATATCTTTTGGTTCAACATATTTAACAACACTAATCGATTCATTTATTAAAAATTAATATTTTTAAATTTAAATTCAAAATGAAAAACTTTTCAAAAATAAATTTTAATAACTGAATCGATGAATATTATTAAATATATTAAATCAAATAACATGCTAATCATTTTCATTTTAAAAACTTAGACTCCACAGCAA